ATCGGCTGTATACAACCGATTTCTATAAAACCGGCTTCTATTAATTCAATCTAATTTCGTAGTGTAGACATACCCTCAGTCTTTGTGTTCGGTTTTCCCTCGGTACTATTCCTCTTTCTCCCCAGCACAATGACTCCTGTCTGGATTATCTCTCTCCCAGCTCATCATGAGAGAGTGAGTGAGAATGAAGAGGAAAATCATGATGCAGAAGTTCCTGGTAAAGTGGAATCACAGGAGACCTTTATGGGAAGTGCTGCATGGAATTTTTTCCACTGCTTGGAACAGGGAGAAGCCTGGGAAAATGGGCAGAGGTCGGAAACCACCCAGAGAGGCTGCTGGGAAACCACCTAGGGCAGAAAGTGGCTGAATCTATTAACTGTGGGAGAGGAGACAAGGATCCCAGAGCTCAGCAGACAAGGAAGAGACACCCTGGCACTGCCTGCAGTGTGGGAAAAGATTCATTCCGAGCTCACAGCTTGTAACACATCAGACAATCCATACTAGAGAGAAATCCTCCCAATGCTTGAACCGTGGGGAAAGCTTCAATAACCGCTTAGACCTTAATAACCATGGGAGATGCCACACAGAAGAGAAACCCTCTCAATGCCTTCAGTGCGGGAAATGTTTCATTTGGAAGTCAGAACTAATTACACATCAGAGAATCCACACACGAGAGCCCCCATAAGTGTTTCATCTGTGGGAAAAGTTTTTCATGTGTAGGTCAGATCTTGTTAAACATCAGGGAATCCACACTGGAGAGAGACCCCATAAGTGTTTGGATTGTGGGAAAAGTTTCAGAATCAGATCATCCCTTGTTTTACATCAGAGGATCCACACAGGAGAGAGACCCCATAAGTGCTTGGACTGTAGAAAATGTTTCACACGGAGATCACACCTCACTAAACATGGGAGAATCCACACAAGATCCTAACTTCTGTGATACGGGGCCAGAAAGGGTTAAGCAACTTGCAGGCTAATTGACCCAGATTCACCCTTTAGACACATGTTAGAAATGTGTGTAAATGGAAATTAGGGCCCTTCCACATTAGATAACCTAGAGTTTTGAAATGTAAACTTTTATGGTTAAAGAACTGGAAGAAGATATTAATTGTACTAGTCTATGTTTAGTCACATCTTGTTAGAGGTTCACAGTGTAACGAAAGGGTTTCTGTCTAGGGCTGTATGTTAAATCTGAGATGGAAAGGAAATATTAACATATAGATAAAACTTGGGTGTAATACTGTCATTGGTAAACTGTGTATTAACTGCTTTATGGATAGTTACCTTATTTTAATCCATGTAATTAATTACCAGTGATGTTTAGGAAATAGAAGGTTACTTGAAAAGCCTATTGTTCACCTGATTAAGTGAATCTGAAAGAGACTCTTTGCAATTCTAATGCACCATCTCTGCAGTGAAACTGACCTAAGGACTCTATTCATCTCTGTATGAGATGGGATAGCTCAGTGGTTTGAGTGTTGGCCTGCTAAATCCAGGGTTGTGAGTTCAATTCTTGAGGAGGCCATTTAGGGATCTGGGGCAAAAATCTGTCTGGGGATTGGTCCTGCTTTGAGCAGGGGGTTGGACTAGATGACCTTCTGAGGTCCCTTCCAACCCTGATAATCTATGAGTTATTTCCTGTGAGGCTTGCCACCTGGACATAACACATGGCCAATTGGTGGCTGCATTTCCCTGCTGCGTGACCAATCCCAACATAAAAATCCTTTGGGATCCTTGCAGATGAGGTACTATGGAAATGTGTGGGGCCTATCCCCTTGCTGTATTCTACTAACCTGAGTTTTGCTTTGCGGTAGGGTTGGAATTGGCAACTCCCTCACTGGTTCCTCTGAAGAAGAACCTCAACGCTGTAGTGGTGTCTGAAAAATACAACCTGAAGCCGATGCCAATGAAGAGACAGAGGTTGGTCTGAGCATCCTGCCCTGCTCTGGGGAAAGCGTCCAGACCTTGCGCCTATGGCTTCCTCTGTCTGCCTCACCTTTACGCTCTGTTCCTCAGTCCTGAGAAGCACTCTGTGTGGAACTGGGAGGCAGGACTCCTGGGTTCTATCCCTGGATCTGGGAGGGGAGTTGGATCTAGTGGGTTACAATGGGGGGAGCTGGGAGGCAGGACTGAGTGCTGAGGGCATTTGCCCGAGGCCCTGTGTGTAGTACGGGCCCAGCATTGGTAACCTTCCCCAAGCCGCCCCTGCTTGCCCCTTCAGCCCCCTGCAAAGCAGCCCTAGGGTTGTGCTGTGCTTTCTCTGCTATTCATGCCACATCATCACATGATCTGGGCTTGCCTGCTCCTTGCCTGATCCCTTTCCTGGGCCGTGGCCTCAGCGTCTCAGTGCCATGTCTGCTTTTCCCTCTCACAGCACGTCCGCCCCCTCTGGAGACAACCCACCAGTAGAGAAGAAATACAAACCTCTGAACACCACCCCCAACAGCACCAAGGAAATCAAAGTCAAGATCATCCCCGTGCAACGTGAGTACATTTGAGGCCCCAGTAGTCAGGATGCCTGGGTTCGGTCCTCAGCATTGGGCGGGGAGTGAGGTCTAGTTGGTGAGAGTAGCGGGGTTGCAGGGGTGGGGCTGAGAGTCAGGACTCCTGGGCTCTATCCCTGGTTCTGGGATGGGAGTGGGGTATAGCATGGGGGAGGGGTAGGATTATATGTGAAGTTGCAGGTGTGTGGAGCTTTCAGTTTGTGTAACCTCTTTTGTTTCCCCCCCTCTCTGCAGCAATGGAGGGCTTGGGCTTCCTGGATGCCTTTAACTCTGCCCCCATCCCGGGGATCAAGATCAAAAAGAAAAAGAAAGTCTTGTCTCCTACGGCAGCCAAGGTACAAACACCTCTGGGTGGGGGCTGGTGGGTTAGAGTGGGGAGGGCTGAGAGGCAGGACCCCTTGGTTCTGTCCCCAGCTCGGGGCGTGGGGGGATCTGGTGGGTTAGAGCAGGGGGCTGGGAGGCAGGACCCCTGGGTTCTGACTTCAGCAATGAGAGGGGAGTGGGGTCTGGTGCAGGGGCTGGGAGTTACTGGTTCACTTCCCATTAGACTGATCCCACATTTCTCTCTGTGTCCCAGGCGAGCCCGTTTGAAGGGAAGCCAGCCCCAGAAGCGAGCGCTGCTAAACCATCCTCACCAGAACCCGCTACTGCATCCGAGCCGATGGAGGTGGATCGGCCCGGTACCCCTGTGCCGGCAGTAGAGGTCCCAGAGCTGATGGAGACCGGTAAGGATGGGGAAGGCATTGGAGCCAACGGGTTCTATTGTGCTAACCTGGGCGGGTGGTAGGTGTCAGCCCAACATCCTGGCTGTGTTGGATCAGACCTGATGTTGCCACCCAGGAGGCCATAAAACCGATAATGCATGTGGCCGGGTGTGCCATGCCAGCTGGGATACAGCTGCCTTGGTGGCGGGGGGCGGGCAGCCTCTGTGTCAGCTTAACTGTGGGGCTGGCAGGGCTGTCTTCACCTGGGGGTCCTGGGTTGGGCTCAGGAGGCATTGGCGCCGGTTGTTAGATCCAGGCTCCGTGGTGTGTGTTTGTCTGATCGCTGAGCCGCTCTGTGTCCCGTCCCCGCAGCCTCGTCCGAGCAGAACTCAGATTCCAAGCCGTCCGAGAGCGTCGCTGACTCCACGCGGTTCACCAAGAAGGGCAAGAAGAAGACAGTGAGCTGGCCTGAAGAGAGCAAGCTGCAGGAGTACTTCTACTTCGAGCTGGATGATACTGAGCGAGGTGAGTACTGGGGCAGGGGCCTTTCCCTCTAGGGGGCACCAGCTCCCATCTATCGCCAGGGGACTGGGGCATGGGGCCTTTCTCTCTAGGGGGTGCCAGCTCTGCTCCAGCACCAGGGGACTACCTGGCTTCTGCAGGTGGGAAAAGGGATACGAGGCCTTTGAACTCCTATTACGGAGTGGGGGTGTCGCACCCTTCCCATCGGCTGGATGGCAGTGACCTGTCTGTCCCCTGACTAAACCCCTCCCCATTTCTTCTCCTCCCCCGGCAGTCAACCTGAACAAGATCAAGGACTTTGGCGAGGCAGCCAAGCAGGAGATGCTGAAGGACCGGCAAGCCTTCGAGACGGCGCGCCGGCTCAGCCACAGTGCCATGGAAAATAAGGTGCCCTGGGTTTACCCCAACCTCATCGACCTGCCTAGCTCCCTGGAGCAGCCGGGCAGCGGCAGCCACGAGAAGTTCACCCAGGCCAAGAGGGAGAAGGGAATCCTGCCGGAGATCTTCCTCTTCAAGGAGAGGTGGGTGTGGCCCTGGGGGGCAGGGTGAGAGGTTGGAAGGATACTGGGGGCGAGGCCGGGGCACCATTTCCCAGTTGCTCAATGTAGGCTCTTTGTCCTCCTCTAATGGCTGCACCGTGCAACAGCCAGTGTGTCAAATTTAAGGCCACCTACCTGAATCCAGCATGGCTCTGTCCTTCTCTAGCGGCATATGAGCCGGCTGCTGCCACTGAGCCTGTCGACCTGGTTGTTCGACTCAGGGAACGCAGACCCTGTTTTCAGCTCCAGAGGTCCCAGCAGATGACCCCACCAGGGGCCTCTCTAGGTTGCTGGGCACCAGGATCCCCTCTGACCCTGCTGTCTTTGCTTCCCATGGCTGGTGGATGCTGGCTGGGTGTGTGGACCTGGCCTGTGAGGCTGTGCTGGGAGCTAAGAGGTGGGGGGGCATCAGGCTGTGCTGAGAGCCCCATAATGGGGGGCTACGACCACGTCTCTTGGTGCTGATTTGTGACCAGCATTTCTCCTCTCCGCAGCATTCCAGATAGTCCCCACGAACCCAACCCAGAGTCTTATGAACCCCTGCCACCCAAACTCATCCCGCTCAACAAGGTACATCTGGCCCAGGGCCCCGGGTGCTCTACCCTGCTTTGGGGGACAGAAGGAGGGGGCCTGTTGGGATAGAGCAGGGGGATTGGTAGTCAGGACTCCTGGGTTTGCTCCTCACTGTGGAAGGGGTCTAGGGGTTAGAGCAAGAGGTTCATATCCCAGCTCACTGGGGGCCCTTCCCCACTCTGTGTCTCTGTCTCCCTGTATAAACAGGGATGGGCTAGAGAAGGGCAAAGGCCCAGGAACCTGTGCTTCCAGCCATGACCCCCAGCCCCTGAGGCTGGGGCGTCCTCCCTGCCCTCAACCCGTCCTGACTCCAGTGTCTCCTCTGTCCCCTCTCTCAGGAATGCACCATGGACGAGGCCGCTTACCAGGAAGGACTCGACCCGGCCGCCGCCTCGCAGTCTCCCGAGGAAGCCGGGGCCTCCAAGCTGCCCCCAGTGCTGGCCAACCTGATGCCGGCCCCCATGCTCCCCAAGAGCCCTCAGGGCCAGGGCCGGCTCCAGCATTTTTGCCGCCCCAAGCAAAAAAAAAAAAAAAAAAGCCGCAATCGGAGAAAAAACAAACAAACAAAAGCCGCGATCGTGATCGCCGGCGACAATTCCTTGACTCCGAGAGGGAGTGAGGGACCTGCCGCCCCCGAATTGCCGCACGTGCCGCCCCTCTCCCTTGGCCGCCCCAAGCAGCTGCTTGTTAAGCTGGTGCCTGGAGCCGGCCCTGCTCAGGGCCCCAACCCCAGCTCCTCCATGAACATGCAGGAGATCCTCCCCTCCATCATGGTAATTGGAGCTGCCATGTAGCCTGACTGACCCTATAGGCTCCCTGTCATGGGAGGGTCCAGCACCAAAAGGGTAAACTCTGTGCTGCTCTGTGGGTGGGGCCTCCCTGGCCCATCTATCCCCAGAGCGGGCCATTGCTTCCCCCCTGCCACCCCACCACTGCTGGAGCAGACCATTGGCTTGGTCTCCCTGCCTCCAGCTTGGTTGACGGTCCAGCGTTTTAGGGGGAAGGGGAAACTCAGATAATGCACCAACTGAGCAATAGTTGGGGTGGGGAGGATGCGTGTTGGGGGGTGGTACTCTTTCCTATCACCCCCTTCTCCCAAAGTGGTTGGGTCAAGCCAGCCCCTGGCCCCAGCTAGAGGGGTTAATGGACTAGCACAGCACCCTAGAGTTAGAAGTCAGAGAGACCTGGGGCGGGGGGGGGAGGTGTAGTGTGGGGGAGGAGGGACACTCTGTCTAACCCTGCCCCTCCTGTCTCCCTTCCCTGCACAGGGCGGGCCCAACAAACGCAAGACGGAGGAGCTAATGAAGCAGCCAGATTACTTGGACAAGATCAAACACTTTCTTGGCAACCTCCAGCCACAGCCCCTGGGGCCCTCAGGAGGTAAGAGACCTGTTGGGGGGCACCGACCCTGTTCCCACCTCCTGCTGGTAGGAGAAAATCATGTCCTGCCGGTTGCCTTCTGGCTTCTGTTTCTTTGCCTTCTGTCTGTGTCCATGGGGCACCTGGGACTTCTAAACCATCAGCTCTTACAGCTCTAGGGGCTCTGGCAGGCGGGTAATCTGAAGGACGTGACCTTGCTTGGTTCGAATGACTGGGGCCAGGGGAGAGCTGGTGCACCCAGCATCCTAATGACATCATGGGTGTGCGAGTGCATGTCTGTGATTTCCTGCTCTAGGGGTTCCAGGAGAGGTGGTCCTGTAAACGTGTCCTGGGTTAGAATGGGAAGGGATGGGAAGTGTAACCCCATTGGCTGTATTTGACCCCTCTGCTCTCTTGTCTTCCAGTGCCCCATGGGCTGCTGGGCCCAGGGCCCCTCGCCAATGGATTCCCACTTGGACCAAAGAACATGCAGCATTTCCCTCCTGAGGGGCCAGGACCCATGCCTGGTAAGCAGGGAGCTACCATCTTCTGGGGGTGGGGTGGAGGGGACTGTCAACCTTCAGCTGGAGTGTGCCGGAGTCAGTAGGGACTGCTGACCCCAGTGCGGTGCTAGGGAGCGCTGGGCTGCAAGGAGCAGGTGGAGGCTCAGTAGGGGACACTCTCCTGGCAGTCAGTGCTGGCACCAATGCCCCAGTATGGTGCTAAGGGGCTCTGTGCTGCAGAGTGGGGGGCTCAGTAAGAGGTGCCGTGTGGCATGGAGTAGGGTGGGGGTTCGGCAGCAGGTGTCTTTTTGCCCTTGGTGCTCAGACAGGGGGTCTCTAACCTTTGTGCCTCTCTTCCCCGCCCCTAGGTCTCCATGGTGGCCCTGGGGGTCCCAACATGCCCCCAGGTCCCGGCATGCCTGGTGGGCCCAGGATGATGGGCCCTCCCGCTCCCCAGCAAGGCGAGTTCTGGGATCCCCCTGATGGCGGAATGCGAGGAAACCCCCAGGGGGGTATGCGAAGGGGTGGCCCCGGCCCAGGGCCCGGCCCAGGCCCTTTCCACCGGGGGCGAGGTGGGGAGCCCCCCTTCCGGAGTCATGATGGAGGCCAAGGAAGAGGTAATTGCAGGGGGCTTGGCTTGCCCTCTAGGGGGAGCAGAGGGCCATGGCTTTGGAATGGCCCCGCCCCTTTATGGGAGGGGCCTGTGAGTGCCCCCTCCACTCCCCCATTTTTATCCAGCAGGTGGCGAGGGCCGATGGGGGAGACCCAGCATGCATTGCACCCATTCAATCCTGCAGGCCCTGCTCCTTGGGGGCAGGGCCCAGAGTGGCAGAGAGCCCCCTATAGGCCTGTGAGAACAAGGAAGACAGTTTCAGCTGCAGCATTGCATGCTGGGAGCTGTAGTTTCTTCCCCATCCCCCTCCCTGCTCTGCCAAACCTCTGGCCATGCCCTGCCGCCGTGGCTGACCTGCGCCCCGTTTTCTCTCACACAGACATGTCGAGCCGCCCCGTGTGTCGCCACTTCAAGTCGAAAGGCAGCTGCAGGTACGAGAACAACTGTGCCTTCTACCATCCCGGAGTGAACGGGCCGCCCCTGCCGTAGCGCCCGGGGCCCTCCCCCCACCCCGCCGACGCCCCGTGAAACCGCCCAACACAGCCGCCCCCGCTTCACGGACTCTGGGGTGCCAGCTGTCGGACTTGGGCTGCGGCCACCACTTATGGCTTCTGTGAGGCCTTGTAACACCTGGGGGGGGGGGGAGGGAGCAACCCCCCCTGACGGCTGCTGCTACTGAGAAACCACTGCGGGGGGAATTCCCCCCACCACTCTGCTCCCTCCTGTGTTTTAACATGATGGTGGTACTGATGGGACATGACTCCACGTCCCCCCAATGACTTTTTGCAAGCACAAGAGCCGCCGCCTGCTCTGGGACCTGGGGGTAAGGGGAGCAAAGCGGATTGTTACCACTGTGTATATCTCTGTGGAGCCAGCAAAGGTGTAAAGGGGGGGTTGCCTGGCTGCCCTACCTGGCTCCGGGCTGCGGTCTGTCCACAGGTTTGCCTGCTGCAGACCTACTCTGAAGACATTTTGCCTGGGGAGCCTTGGCCCTGAGGAGCAGCCGGCCACACTGCTCGGCTCCCCCAGAAATACTGCCCTCCTCGGGCACGTGGTCCGGAGACTTCTCCCTCCATCTGGCAGCAGCAGGATACCAGTCCTTCGGTTGGGGAGGAGAGGGGTCCCTTAACCACTGCCCCCCACCCACTGAGCAAAGGGGGTGCTTGTTAACTCCACCCCCTCAATGGGGTCATTGTAGATAAATCTCTGCATTAAGCATCTTCACATAACTTTCATATGACTTTTTGTATTATGTCTCTTCATATAACCTTGTATTAAGCCTATCCACATATAACCTCTATTTTCATACAACTTTGTATCAAGTCCTTTGATCTAGGAACTTTGTATCAGATCTGTGGGAGAAAACAAGCCTTCACTCTGCAGCTGTAAGCAACAAGGCAGGGACAGTTTATTCAAGCAATTGCAAGGGAAGATTGCAGTTGGACGGGGGGGGGTCCCCTTGCCCTTAGCAAATCTTTGAAAAACAAGCAATTTAAGACAAGTATTTATACACTCCCATTACATCCATCAACGGCCAACAGCTGTGTCCTGTTTATACGTTTCTTTCTGATATTTTACTTATTTCAACGGTTCCTGCTAAAGTCAGCATTCCATTTTTATCTGAAGGCAAGGCTAAAACAGCATCCCTTGCACTTTCCCACTTGCACAAGTCCTGCTGTTATAAGTCTTGCGTGGTTAGGGTTAGCCTGACTTTTGCTCTATCTGTAACAAAGCTAAGATGGCTGCACTTAAATCTCCTTTTTTGCTTTTAGCCCAACTATTCTTTTTAAACCTTTATTTTTATTAGATCTTGTATTTTTGATTTTAAATTAAATGGATTAGCCTTATAAGCTTTGGATGTAACGATAATGTGTGATTAGTATGGACATGGAAGGTATTTTTGTTGTTTACAACAACAACAACATTTCTAAACTAAACAAAAGCAATAAGTATTAACATTTTTATTGTAATAATATGATGGGGTTGTTTTGTAGCCTTAGGTACATAACACAATACATTATAATTAGTACATAAGGTAGATACTTTATAGGTAGTATGAAAAGCGTGTTTTTTAATGTGATCTATATTTTGAAGCACATGGATTTGACCTTGTAATTTAGAGATTGTTTTTTAACCTTTTGGTAGGAGTGAAAGTAGGCTTTGGAATTGGTCGGATATTCAGATGGTTCAATTAAAAGGTGTTTGAAACCTAAGGGCTAATTGTAGGACTCTATCCACAGGCCAATAGATAATATGATTTTTCCACAGCAGTGGTGAGATTAAAATGTATGTCTTGCAAAGTGGTGGCCTTAACATTTACACAGCTGTTATTAGCTTGGAAGAGCAGGTGTTTTGTTAGGGTAGTCTTTTGTTCCATACCCTTCCAACAAACGTTGTTCTGGACCGTGACAACTTTTTCATGCTTTAGCTCTTGTACGCATTGAAGCTGTGCGGGTTTTAAAGGCCAAAGTGTTTAATGGCTTTTCAGTGGGTGTTATTTTAGGAGCACTGACTATAAATTGGCTAGGCATACCAGGTGGTTTAATTATTTAATTTCACATGCATTTTTTTCACGGACCCAGCAGGATTTGGTATGTGGGAGCCCACACCCCTTCAACCGACCCATATGCTTGGAAGGAGCACTGTGAGTACCTGCACTTTTACCCTGAAAACCTCCAAGTATGTCTCCATGGCCACAAATGAGATGGTACTCCTGAAGCATTAGTAAGGGCAGTGGGCCAAGTCTGATGCTTAAGATTACTCTGAATGGCCATGAGCTGATCATTTATGAAATCCCAAATCTCTGGACAGACCTGCTGTCACTACAATTTCTTTTCCGCCTCAGTGATATTCAGTACCATCTCTGTTAGCAGTTCCTGGGTCATCGAACTAAGGGCGGAGATAACCCATGTGCAGGCTGAAATTGGTAAATTACATGTTAACTGTGCTGAATAATAAGACCCGTGGCTTTTTTCGGCTGCCCTAGTTTTTATCATGTAATTGGGTAACCAAATAACAATAAGGACCCCTTTTATCTGACATACTACAGACTCCAGGAATGGCCATTATATTAACCCTGCTATGAAACCCACTATTCTTAATTTTGGATTCTTGAGGCTCATTTGTAGTGATATTATATACTTTTATCTTTACTGACCCGTCTGTTTTTCACTTAATTGTTCACTCATGTGGGATATTCTGAACCTTAAAAAATATTTTTTTTTTCAAAAAAATATTTAAATCGATTACTAAGGTGTGAAGGCCTTGGCCATTGGGTTTCATTAGAATATATGGTATTGTCTGTATTTGGGTATGTTACAGGGGTTGAGGGGGAAGTCACAGAAGGTGCCTTTGGTATTTGTTATCTGAAAGCCAATTAGGGAGAGCAATACATGCTGAAGGTACTTGGCCAAAAACACAGGGCACAGCCTGTGGAATAAACCCCAAAGTTCAAGGAGGGAGGGATAGCTCAGTGGTTTGAGCATTGGCCTGCTAAACCCAGGGTTGTGAGTTCAATCCTTGAGGGGGCCACTTAGGGGTCTGAGGCAAAAATCAGTACTTGGTCCTGCTAGTGAAGGCAGGGGGCTGGGCTCAATGACCTTTCAGGGTCCCTTCCAGTTCTATGAGATAGGTATAATCCCAAGCATGGGTCCCACAAGTTTCTCCCTGCCAGTGTATAATTTTTTATTTATTTATTTATTTTTACCTGGGCCAGTTTTTAATGTCTTTTGTAGTCAGGAATCCCTGGACTTTGGCAGTTTCAGCGGAGCGAGCATTCCTTCTTCTTTCCTGGAGCAGTCGTGGTTTAGTACCATGCAGGGGAGAGGTTACCAGCACCTTATCCTGTGGTATTTTGTTTTTTTTAAGCAGATGTTGGATGTATGGTGGTTTTGTCAGTGGACAAGGGAGAGGTTACTAGCACTTCACCTTGTCCTTGTCTCCTGCTGTCCAGAAGGAGGAAAAGAAATACCAGCAGAAGAGAGAGACTGATCCGCAGTCGGAGTGGGATTATCTCGAGGCGGAGGGGCCTTTTTGCAGTGAGAAGCATGGGTCCAGGCAGTGGGTCCTTGGCACTTCACAGCGGTGTTGGTAGTTAGCAGGACTTGGTAAGGGCCTTTCCAGCGTGGGGCCAGAGCAGTCTTTCGCTGATGGACCTTTATGTAGACCCAGTCTCCTGGTTTTAACGAATGGCAGGGTTGCTTAGGATCCTTGGGTAGTGCTTCTTTCACCTGTGAATAAAGAGACC